ATGAATATCTATTTTTTTGAAATCTTCTAATTTCATCGTTTTGGTGTTGTGATTCTGTTTAGTGGCGATACTGTATACGTATAGAAAACTTAAGCCCAGAGACTGTGCAACTTAGAGAAAGACATTGGAGAATATTTAGTCTTTCTGGTACGTTAGAAACCGTCAGAGGTCGTGGTGTTGTTGGACAGGTAGGTTAACTAAAAATAATTATAAAATATTAGGGGTCCAATGATTTGCGTAGTTAGGTTGCTTATCAAAAAGTATTAAACACGCATTTGCACGTTGTATATTTTAATCCTGTGTGTGTGAAGTGACAGAAGTAAAAGACTCCCGAAAAGAACCCCCAAAACGCTCACTTGTAACGCAAGAAAATGTAAGAGTTAATCTGCAACCATCTGATGCTAGATCGTGTTAACACATTAGTCTTTATCTRCGAGTTAAGCACGAACGTGAACGCATCATTTTTTTCCATTTTCAGTTCCTGTTTTTTCTTGTTTTCTTTTTCCTTCTTTTTCTTTWCCTTCTTTTTCTTTCTTTTTCATTTTTCTCTTTTCGTTTCTTTTCTTTTTCTTCGTGATTCGGCTTACGCTTTTGATCCTGCCTACCACTCTATGTTACGCTTGTATCTCAGCCCTATACTCGCTCTCGGTGCGTATTTTCTTTTTGTCACGTATCTTTRCATATTGTTTCTGACTGCATTGCAGGAGCCCGTGCTGTCTCCCCAACAGCCAGCTTTTCAATACAGCAGTCACGTATCACTGCAGGCTCCTAGTGGACACATGTGGTAAGTAAAAATATCATCACATTGAACGCTATATAGTTACAACTTTTAGTCAAGCTTAACAATTAGCCTGTTTCACCATGAGTTCACATCGTGTTCAATTAGGGGACATAATCGCTTGAACGTGTTTTTCTTCAAAAACTAAAGTTCATATTTTCGAAGTATATTATTTTACAATAATTGTCTAGTACTATTTACAGTGTTTTGATGTCTTTCGTCTTTTATCTGTAGACTAAATATTATTTATTTTTTCTTTCCTTTTGTCTTGCCGCCATTCTTTTTCCCTCTGTTGGCTATAATCCTTTGCGTTAAAACAGATAATATGTTAACCCGGGAGATTTGGATACCCTGATTCGTTTTGAATAAWGTTTTATCAATAAAAAAAGACTGACAAGATCTTGAACATGGTAAAATTCACAAAGGAAATGTATGTTGTACGGACAATAGACTTTCGCGAATTTGCTGTGATGATCACCGAAGAATGATGTCAAGTTTTATCACCCAGGACTATTTCATTATCGCTTTAAGATTGCTCTTAAAAGGAAATTATTATCTTGAGATGATATAATTGAAGTCAATAAAGTACTCCAGCGAAATGAGTATTATATTTGTGAACTCTACATTGAATGTTTTAGACATACAACACTCCTTTATGCTGCTTTGACTCACAATTTTAAGAACTGTTTGCTTTATCTAGGGGAACGTTCAGGATGGAACGGCCAGATGGCAGTACCTTCGATGTACGAATACCTCCATTTTCACTRGAAAGTAARCAGGAAGATCCCATGCCCGTTGTATGAATACCTTTATCATGTATACGGCTGTTACTATGGTTTTTCCCTCATGACGTCATATGATATTCGGCGAAATGTATTATGGGATTTAAGAAAGTCTACAAGCTTTTCCAGGTTGTTATATTCAATCTATGTAGCAAGTAAAGGCAAAGAATTCATCCAAAGAATTCTAGACAAGTGATAACGTTGATTTTTGAAGAATCTCCTCGGTCTGTATCTCCGTGAAACKCCGCCATCTTGATGATTTTATCATTACCGTGATGCACTTTGCCAAAATAAGCCGATGACATCGTTTGTGGAAAGGATATTGAACAATTATCGATTTTAGAGCACCTAAAATGCACCCGAAACATGATAATTCAAGGTTGATAAATTGATTATTGTTACGCCAGGGTCGAACGTTGAATTTGATATTGAAGTTTCTATMGGTTACACGTGCGAAAGTCTTGCTTTGAGCTCACTTGTGTCAGAAGTAACACTTTTGCCGTACTTCACTAAATTACAACCGCTTTAGTAAATACTTTTTAATTTTCTTAAATTTATAGATGACAGATTATACATTGTTTTTTAATGAAAACACAGTTTTTACCTTTTATCACTATTTGACACTAATTAAATTTTTAAAAAAAGCTCTGGAAAGCTTGTTTATATAAATAAATGTCAACAGAATTAAGTTAAACGATTTAAGTTTGACGTTCGAACCTGGCTTTTACGCGTCTTTTTTTCAATTCAGTATCATGCAGATATTTTAGTATTTTGATATTACCACTACGTCCGCCATCTTGATGCCCGTTGTTCTTTTAATGAAATATGGCATACCAATCAATCGACGGTGAAGTTTGATAGGAGCACTTTGTATACTATGGTGGCTTTCAGCAAGTTCTGTCATCAGCTATAATCTTGAATGTTTTGAATCAATGTTTTTAGAACATATCTTTACATATATAATTCTATAAAATTATCAAATAATGAATATGAATCTATGAAAATGTTCAAGTTAATTCAAGATGGCGGTGGTATTGTTAAAAAAACGTTTTATGAATTGATTTTCGATTAGCTGAAGCAAAGAAGATATCGGGAATGGCAACAGAAGACATTTATTTTTTTCAACGACCAAGATGTATTCAGGAACACGAAAATTATCTGTCATTTTCAAGAAGTTGAAATAACTCCACCAATGATGTTAGAGTTGATAAAAMTTTCAAAAATACGATTAACTTTTTTAATTCTTAACATGTTTYAGCATTRCATTATGYCATTCTCAGAAGAATGAGAATAAAAGTCGTTATAAATGWTGTTTAAAAGGATTAGAAAATTAATCGTATTCTTGAAAGTGTTGTTAATATCTCTGGTGCTACTACCAAGCTATGGGAAGTTAAAGTTGCTCAACCTGGTGGAGTAAATCTATTCTGCAATGCGAGTAGTTTTGACTCCAGAGGTTTAAATCAACTCGAAAAGAGAGTCATTACGTCAAAGGGTTTCATAATTGCTCTTTAGAAGAAGAGTCAATATCACTCCCCCATATGCAAAAAAATGGTGAAGTTAATATGAAGTTATCTGGTATCTTTTTTAACAACTCTTTTTGGAATTATCTCAACTAGTGAAAATAACAGTTTACCTAATTGTAAAAACTTTGTCCAAGAAAAAAGTTGTACAATTATATAGTTACGATGTCCTCAGGACAATGTTTTGCAGTTAAGTGTTTATTGGAACTCTAAAACAAATTTAATGAATTTTAGGGCCACAGTTTTTATTGCTAATATATATACATATGATAACATCGTTATTTTTGGATTTTAATATAACCCTCTTGTTATTATTTTCCATGCAGGTTCTAACTTGTAATGATCCTAAAAGACCATACAGCATGATCTTACTTTGTAAATAAAGAGCTTAAATGGATTTTCACTTTTGGAACAAGTATTTTAAGGRCGAATCTACCTAGGGATTATTAGTGTAGCCATCCCCAATTTTAGGGTTCAAAATTATGAGTGGAATTATGATATACGTAAATAAAAGAAGAAATTTAATCTGAATGAAACAACTAAAGCAGCCCTAAATCTATCAATTTGTTGTTTTTTTCCTGGTTTAGCCACCCTCTTTTTGATCTGGATCCGCCATAGCCTCCTCCGCAGGCATTACTAAGAATCACGGGCTTCCTGTCTTTTTTGGGAGTCAAAAGAGGGGGAGTCAAGCGAGAGAGGGGGAAAGGGGGGAAATATGTCCGTAACAAAGGAAGAGTTTCCTGGCCGAGGAGGCTAGATCCGCCACTATATTTTCTCCAAGAAATCTGCAAGCATTCGACCCTTTGATGATATGGGTCTGCTGTCTGCGCGTCAGGATATTGCATAAAGGCTCAGCAGAAAAGACTGCGAAATACGTGAAACAAGCGTACAACTTGTCGTGCACCATCTTTAATGTTTAGATTTCAAAACGACGAAGTTTCTCATTTTCCACCTGTTTCAACGAGCTTGCATGGTCAATAAAAAAATATTTGTTGCAAGTTGGACCAATAAGTTAGCTGACTGCAACTGCCTGGGAAAATCGTAATCGAGATGGCTCATGCCAGTAAACGAAATGTTGGATATGTTATGAAAAATAAGCATCAACAAGAATATTTGTACCAAAAAAGTTAATCAACCACGGCCTATACTTCTGAAACAACAAGTTTTTCTGAATTTGAAACATGTATGCTTTTATGAACAAGTTGCAAGTTTGCAAACGTTGAGGAGTTCAACGATTTTGTTCGACAAGTTTGTTGTTTTGGTTTCTTGTTCTTTAGCTGCCTTTTTTCCCTGCATTTGTTGGAGTCTCTTACTTTAAGTTTCTCAGATACAGCTGAATATGTTAGTCAGTTAAAGGTGCTGAATGTCCAGCTCCCACGAAATCCGTGCGAAGACGGGGCGTCAAATCGCCTTGTTTGAATTATGTTATCGCCAGCACTGCCATATGTCTTTTTAATAAGTTGTTTTTTCTTATTAATGATGAAATTTACTATTTATCTAGCAATCCATTAAACCAGTTAGGATAAGAGAGATCGGAAAGCTTTTCGTCTTTAATATCTCTCGGAAAAAGGTACATCGTATTGCTCTAACTCAAAACCCCTCCGCCCACGTTTTAACTCGATATCCGCATGACGTCTCTGCAGTGCAAGTGTTTTTAGTGTCGTCTGAGAAAGTTAGTGATCCATTTCAAGTGTTGGTCTTTTAGCTCGGTGCGTAAGCGCGCTGTCGATACTTTTTGAATATGAGAGACAAGAAATATCTTATCATTGAGCTTTCAGACTTCTAGAATTGCTGGTAAACCAAGCGTTAGCATCAAATTAGTATCGGAAGCGCGTGGGGAACGTCTGGCTTTTAGCGCAAAATAGATCATAGTGGACGGAAAAAGGCCGGCAAGCGATCAAGTAATAATGAAAGCCGCCTCTTATYAATCACTGCAGTTACAGAAACTAGACAGCAATACGTAAATGTTTAAAGTAGACATCAATACTGCAAATATGAAACGRTATCAAAAGCTCTTTCAAGGCAAACCGATGCGACCAAATGTCTGAAAAGTGGCTATGTTGCTAATAGTGGACTCAACAAACGATATGCTTAATTTCACAGCAAAGATTAAACGCTAAAATAAAGTAATATAAGTGAAGTGTATTCAACTCTGAAATGGGAAAATATTAGTCCTAAAAAATTGAAAAAGAGGGTGGACATCAGATCCGTGAAACAAAAAATCAAATATGACTGCTAACGCCACTAAATACAAATAGACACTATAGAATTCAAAGGAATTATTTAGCATAACTTAGTACAAGTATTTAGTACCATTTTTCATCGGTTTTAAGAGTGCCTGCATTCGCTCTGGTTATCTGAGTTGTGAATATCAGTGATATCGATATTACACTGAATTATATCCTTTTGTTAGTAAGTGTTTTTATTTTGCATTTGATCAGCGCGGGCCATGGCAGCCATCATCATGGACCGAGTTTCCAGAATTTTCTACTTGCCTCTCAGTATTGCTTGCTAAGCAACATAAAATGTACAACCTTACATAAACATCACTAACATTAAAAAATACTAGAATATATACAACAGGTTTGCTGTCTGCAAAGAATCGTATTTAATTCATAACATTCTGACTAGGAATTTCCATGTGACTGTATATGATAAAAAATGTTTTAATTAAAACCGAACTTAGAAAACTAAAAACATATTTKCTATAAAAGGAAACTGCCAAGAAAACTGTTTTTTTTTTTTACTATCATTATATCTACATCCCGAATAAAATGTGTTGTTGATCAGAATACTGCCAAGACTGCAAATATGAATTTATTTGGAATCGCTTTCTGTCAATGAAAAATGATGAAGTTCTAAATTTATCTTTTGCGTCATAGGTTGTCTAGTCTTAAATATGTCAAAGTGGAGAAAATAAATTTCCACTGATTCTATCTAAAGTTATTAGCGGATTTTCGATGCGCTTTCGATCGCTTGACTTAAGRAGTGTAACGTGTGTAACTGCATGATTGCAGAATAATGATGRWGAAATCACTAYAACTGACAAAGTCAAGCCATTTTTAGCGCGACTACGACATTTAACTTTAAAATGTTTCCAGTTCTATTTCCTCTAATTATTARATTTAACCTCATTAAACAGCATGTTTTGGTGGTTGCTAAAATGAATTCGTAAGTGAGAGCAGTTCTAATAATATCCCTGAGGGGGATTTGCTGGCAGTCTGCCGGTTATCACGTGTTTTCGTCAAAAAAAAAAAAAATCGTAGATCACTTAGTTTATTTCGCATTATTTGGATAAATTGCAGCTTTCGAATGTAACYGATACAGAAATAAGAGATTTATATGATTCCAAAATAAAAAGAAATTTAATTTTTTACTGAAACAAAATATGGCATTGCTCAATCTTACATTGGTTACCCTTAGATACCGTAAAAGAGGATTTTTAGCGTGGGCCCTCTTCCAGATTTTAATAACACATTATTCATCGATGACGAAATCAGGCCATTTGAAAGCAAATAGAATTTTCTTATCTTAAAACTCTCTCAAAAACTAGATCTCGKATTTCGATGGGCCTGTGCAAATGTTAAAAGTGTTTTAGTTTCAMTTCATCCCACCGCTTTTCAGCAGTTCCCGGGAAAAAAAATTCAAGTAACTATAGAAACAAATAAGGTCATAGTGCCCATATTTGGACGATGCGCGTGGATGGTGCTAATACGCATGTGCGACATAAAATCGTTTACACACAACAGAATAACAGTTAAAAYAGGCATTGGTGCTTGGTTGGTTTTTCCCTCKCAAATAATCTTGCTAACATGCAATTGCCATGAAAACCCGGGGAAAAGTAGTGYATTGAATATCTAGTCCAGAGGAAAAGTCACTTGGATCAAGATCCAAGACTAAAGGCATACAAATGTGGAGACAAAATGCARGCTAGCSTATGTAAATTACGTGGAGTTTGTTTTATTGAAGCCGCTGAGTTCCGAGTACTACAATTGTAAATAGCTGTTCAATTAACTGTGATTTTTACAGTCCGATCTCTTGATTTTATACTCGTCATAATATATTTATTATGCCCATGCCATCTGCAAATGGAAATATTTCGATTATGGATAAAGAATTCGGCACAAACTCCAAGAAAAATACWGAAGAACTGAAGCGACAGGTAGTTAAACTGAAAGCTGACTTGGAAGCAGAGCGCTCCAAACTCAAGCAAGTACACCGCGACAAAACAGCTGAGTTAAAAAGAATTCAAGAAAACCACGAAAAGGAAAGACATCGGACTATTGAAAATGTTACTAAACGGTTACAAAGTGAACACGCGGTGGAACTCCGCCGCGTTCGAGAGAGYTTGAGTAAAGAGAAGGACAACGAGCTACGGCAGGTTTTAAAATTCAAAGAAGAGGAATTAAAAACGTTAAAACAGCAAATTCAGGATGAAAAGGAACGTTCAAAACGAACTGAAGAAGATATTAAAAAGTCTTATTTAGACAGAAGCAGAGCAAATTCTAGCGAAGTTGAACATAGGCTTAGAGACGAGCTGACTGACCTAAAAGAACAAAAACGMAAACTAGACGAATTATACAAACTAAAATGTGCTGCAGATTACGAAAAAGCTGAGCTAATAAGAAGACTGAAGAGTGAACACGAGAGAGAAGTCAATTCTTTAATAAAAGAATCAAAAAGAGARGTTGCMAAAGAGTTTCAACATTTAAGATCTGCGGAAAAAGCTTTGGAAGAAAAAAATCACGAACTTGCATTCAAGGATCAGCTTACAAGAAAGCTAGAAGCTGAAAAGCATGACATTCGACGAAAGACCTCAGTTGAATCTTTTCCCACAGACAGTCCTATGAGATCCCGTTTGGGTAGCGGGACACAAGAATCATCTTTTGCAGAAGTATCACCGGAAGCCGAGGAAGTTGTAAGTATGAATTAGTTTAAAGTTTGTGTTAAATATTCCGCCATGGGTCAAGTTGTTATTGTAACTAACAGCAACCGACTTCTTACATGTTACGGGTTTTTGCCTTTTAGCAGATTCATATCATGTTTATCAACTTGTGCTATGAACCAAATCGGATTTGAAAAATATATAGCATAAATTTTCACTGATTTGTTAAGCCAACAATGAATATTTAGCTGTTTTCTTGAATGCAATTCGTCAATAACCGTGTTTGTGAAAGCTGTTTCAATGTTTCAGCACCGAATCKTTTGACACTGGAATAGCTTTTTTAGAACAAGGGAACTCGTCAAAACTTCAACAGCATTACGACTTTATCTGTAGATCAATTCTTGGTTTGATTGGTTTTGTTGATCGATCTTTGTAGGAATTCTCATTTGTAGTCGCTGTATGCCGATTATTAATGCTGTTTGATCTGTGATTTGAATGTTTGCATGTCTGCGTCACGGCTTTATGGAAATGTGAAAGAGCGAAAATGCAAGCTCATTGAACAGGCGCTTGTATTTACCGTAATGCTCAACGCTTCTATGTATAATATAAATGAATAGTTTGAAACACATTTCTGAATTCGGCTCTTGAAATAACAATAACTTAGCCTTTTCGCTGTCGTGCGAAGAGTTTGCCCCCCTGTGTAGAATAATATTTGAATCAACTGTTATTGTTATTATTTGTCGCGTTTTGTGTAAGTTTTTCTTTGTTTCCCTACTCACCAGTGTGTGCTTAAACAAATTACCGCCTCGAATTATATTCCAACATCAACTTTTTTGATATTCTAATTTGTCAAATAAATATTTGACACTTTGGATGATGTCCATGTGTGGTCCACTAAATTGTCTGTGTCATTCGCGAGTTTATGATAATCATGAAGTTGGTTGATTTTGCTAATCCAATAAGTTTTACCATTGGCATCTCCTAGACAAATCAGAATTCCRCGGCTTTTTGCCGAACTATTTAGAATYATATAAACCAACATTATTGCCACTGAAAATTAATTGAACTTCTGTTAATTTGTTGTCCAAAATGATGAACAATTTTGCTAATATTTAAAGTTTTGCCTCAGTTAAGTTATAAAACMAAACCAAACTGAAAATACATTAATAATCCAAATTGAAAGAGTTGACCACACTGGGCATATTTTCCTCTCAAAAAAATATTTTCTCATAATATTTAGTTCCCCTTTTACAAGAGTTGTGAATAGACAATTTAATAATTAACAAAGCTCTTTGAACCCATACGCAGTATATCTGAAGATGAATTCCAGCTAGTCATGCAATCAAATGCTAAACTTTACCACGTCATATTTGTAGGAAAATGTTATACATATTCTATTGTCGGAAAAAGATCGCATTGGATATTCCAATGTTCTTTATAAACAGAAAGGAAAAGTTGYTGGAAGCTACAAACTTGTTAGTCAAAYATGTTGATGTGACCAAAATCTCATGCTATCAAGTCTATGCACTTGCGAACTGTCTTGCACTGGGTGTACACATATCKTGCAAATGAATTAATATTTTTAGCACYAAGGCAACTATTTAACTAAGTGCAATATTTGACATGTGACAAGTGTCAAGGTTGCTCACTATTGCATAATCACCTTTATACTTAATTCATGAAACTTAAATTGTACAAAAATAAGTGGTTGATTAGCCTGATTCCWTTGTTTCCTATCACCCAATCAACACCATTCCTTGTACAATGAAATAGTCMGTTGTTTGGATGATAGACGGATTGAGTGTACCTACTCAACTTGTAGGCATTTTAATTTTAATTTTAGATTTAAAAATCTATTTTTAAAAACATTTTATTCAGTGTCACCTTTGATAACCAATGAAATCTTGTTAAGGATGCTTGATTTGTGTTATCAGGTCGTCAGCATGACCAGCATTGCATTTTGGGTACATAACATACATTTCTAATTTGAATTTCTAATAAAAATAAGCCCAGTATCTCAATGATTGTCAGGACAATGTCATAGCTGTCAATGTCTTGATCTGTTCATATTTGTTGTTGATAATCAATGAGCCAGCTATTTATAATAATAAAGCATTTTTTAAAATATGCAAAAAAAAGTATTTTTAAGAGCAACAAATCTCTGCAGTTCTTATACCTTTTCCAAGAGATGAGTATTACAAGTTCGCTACAAACTATATTATTCTAAGATAATTGATTGACAGGTGATTTGATATGCAATAGTAGAAGTAACACAAGGTAACATAGAACTAGAAGTGTTAATTAGATATATTTTATTGTTTTCAGTTAAATGTTCATGTTTTGTTTTAAAAAGGCTTTAGTATGTAAATACTGTATAACTAATGCTCAAACTTAGAATTAAAATGATGCAGTCTGTTTGATATGCATGTACATGCAAGGAATGTCATACAGTTACCTAGGGAAACRATAGTTTCATAAAAAGCATCTAGAATAAATAACAATAATAATGCAGAAAGTAATGTATCTAAGGAATTTTATTTTATTTGCTAACAGACATCTAATGTRTTTTTATCTCACTAGTAATAATTAGCATTATTATCAAATATTGTCCACGTTTATTAGCCAGGGCTTTTTAACATGCATGTATGTGCACAAATATGGTATTATTATGCACCTTTATGTCGTGTATTACTAGACATGCTTAAATCTCTTTTTGTGAATGCAGTTTCAGTCATCACCAAAGGGCCGTTATGATAAAGAAAGAGAACTCAGAAAGAAGAATGCTGACCTTCAAAGTCGACTTGACCAACTGGAGAAGAAGTGCASTATTCTTGAGGTAAACTTCTACATTAATTCATTCATTTATTTTACATTTTGTTTGCTCTTTTTGACAATGATGTCAGAGCATTGTTTTGTTTTTTTTTAATAGAAAGAGAATGCATCAAAACAAGCAGGGAGTCAAAAGACAACAGGTCTTGTGGAAGAGAAAGTTAAAAAGTTGAAAAAGAGAAATTCAGAGCTTGTTTCTATTGCRCGACAACTTGAAGAAAGAGCTAAAAAACTTCAAGAGGAAAAGAATGCAATGTTGGTAAGTGAAAATAGGGATGAAGCCTTTGTAGCTCTAGTACATGTACCAGTCCTATGTGCACAGTGCATGCAAAAGTGTGTTAAAAAAGAGCAAGGTTTTAAGGATCAATGTATTACCAGGAGTTATATTATATGCATATAGAATAGCTCAAAGATTTTGATAAGAGATATAGTAAAAAAAAACAGAATTAAGAACCTTATTTTTTGAAAGTCTGGCTTTCAACTGTAACAAATATAACAATCAAATCACAATTCATAGCACATCTGTGTAAATTATGTTCTAGAATATTAATCTTTTTCACGCCAATAAACTGTGTCTCAGTAACTTGTGGTTTGTTTATCCTGTAATTTACATGTAACCAGCTACAGYACAAGAACCTACTTGATAATGTTTAAGGCTAAACAGGYTCTTATTTATGAMGGAATTAAAMTGGCAAATTTCTATCAAGAGGTTCTTGATTCACTAGGCTCTTTATTGCGCGTACTATCACCGATATTCTTGTAGATGTAAATTTTCAAATGTAACATCAATGTTTTATTGCTATTTTTAAATAACTGATTTCTTTTKTTCCAGAAACAAGCAAACAGCAAGGCAGATCCCAGTGCAGARGTGGAACACATGAAGAAGATGTTTGCAAGACAAAGGGCCAAAGATCTTGCCGARCAAGCAAAGTCGCATATGCAAAAAGACAGTGAAATAGAAAACCTTCGCAAGCAACTGGATTCGATGTCTGGAGGCAAACTTGAGGCACAAGTAATGAAAAAGAGATGTTAACTAAGAGTTTTCAGTTGTAATGTATTAGAATGAACTCTGATTATGATTGACTGCGGCTACCAATGCAGAGCAGTCC